ACTTAAAAATTTTGCTTTTTAAGCCTAGCAAGCTCCACATTAATCGCATTAATTATCTCCTCGTTGCTATTGAAGACTTTTCCTTTTTTCTTTTTTTTTTTTTGGAAATAACCAGAAATCATAAGGTGCTATATACGGGGAACAGCTGGACGTATTTATTCGTTCCCAGAGATCGCAATAAAATTACTCGTTATTTCAGCAGTGTGGGATGACTTCACCAGAAGACGTCACTCTTCAGAGAAAGATTTTGGTCGACCTTCCAGAGGCTCGTCCTCTACGAAAAAATGTCTGGTCTGGAATCTTCGGAACCACTTATAAATAGTATTTAAAGACGATGTAATCGTTCTATATGCAATTAGGCATTCACTAAATATTTGTATTGGCTATAAATTACGCCGAAACCCGAAGACAATCACATGGCGAATTCCTGTTTTCGTTGGTGGTGGAATTTCGCTTGCCTTGTCCTATAGGGGTGTAGTCAAGCCTCTGTGTAGGGGTGTAAATAGGGTTTGGTGAAGCTTCTGGGCATTCGGTAACAGTTGTGCAGCTATACTCAATTCCTACTGTTGCGCCCATATCGAGCACAAAAGGAACGTGAGCAAGATGCAATAACCAACCCGTGTGGAGCCTTGGGTCACTGCTAATGAGAGAGACAGCTTCAGTGGACTTATTTTTTTATTTTTTTTTTTGGGATGACGCCCGAGAAGGGAAAACTCTCATGTGCACTGTTATACCGGCGTAACAGTAAGTACGACTTGCAACCACACAGTTGCACCTACGAAAGAAATACCTCTTCACTAATACCACTCGCCCCGCGGAACTATCAATGAAGTATTACTTCGCGGGGGTGGTAAGCACCCACTCGTTACTACATTTCAGCATCAAATTTTACACATTAAAAAACTTTTTTTGCTTACTTAAATAACTGGTGAGGCCAAGCCTCCAGTCTATCTTCTATTACAGCGGGTGAAAAGTCCTAGTTTCTGCTCCACTGTGCTATTAGTGGCATAATAGCAGTGTGGTCGGAAAGAACGAGTTTCCGATCCAAGCATGACATCTTCTGCATTAGTCTGCGTGATCTATGATAATCTACCCTAAGTCGCTTAATTTTTTCTACGATAATTTCTTCCATGTACATTCTTCAAGATTCATGGCCTATAATAGCCTTTCCAGCGTCAATGTGGCTCTTATACATTGTTTGAGCTGCTTGCACTCATCTTCAAATCGGCTGCAGTACTAAAGAATATGCTCTGCGTTTTCCGTCTCTCCACTGCAATGCAAACAATAAGGAATGTCTGCTTGCGTGTAGTTATGCAATATTGTCGAAAGCAGCCATACGCCGTGCTGTCCAGTCTGTTCATCCATTTGCTTACACTTGGGATCAGCTTCTTCGTCCATCTCCCTTTCGAAGACGAATCCCACCTTTGCTGCCACTCATTTATGCATTGTTGTATGATTTCTTTTCAGTTAGTGGGATTGTGTCTAACTTCCGAAGCGGCTGTGGCTGCTATATCTACTGGACATCTTCTAACCAACAGGTTTGCGACTTCTTCTGACACTGCCACAAACGCACTACATACTCTTAGCGACGCCAATCTATGTACCGCAGCTGGTGCTCTCAGATACGTCGTACATTAGAATAAACGAACTGACGCTCGCAAGTAATTTTCTTCTTTGTTGCCTTGGGCCTCCTATATTGACCATAAGTCTTGCAAGAGCCGCACCAACCTTACTTGCTTTTCCGCTGGAATATTCCAAATGTTCCTTGAAGCTAAATCGGCGGTCCAGAATGACTCCGAGGTATTTAATTATTGTCCTGGATTCCATAACGCAGCCACCTACTCTCACTTGTATGGCCTCTACCTTTTTCCAGCTGGTTATTAGCAAAGGCCTCTGTTTTTTCTTACTTTAAAAATGCCATTGCACATTATATTCCATAGAAGCGGTCCTAGGACCGATCCCTGTGGCACGCCCGCTGTTATTTTATATTATTCATGGGGCCTTCGTTTGTGTCATACAGTAGCACTCTTTCGCTAAAATAGCTCATGTTTACACGTATTAAATAGCCCGGAACATTCATTTTTTGTTGCCGTTATTATTTGTTCCCAATTCACATCTCAAGTGATAATGACGCAGTACTGCTTTGGGTCTTCAAACCATCTTTTGCCTTCAAGGGCTTTGCGAGCTATGTCACAAGCATCAGCTATGGAGTCGATTGTATAGCGCTTTTTTCTAAATCCGTATTGCCAAGTAGAAAGCCTGTGGCCTCCTCCAGTAAGTTCTTGAATCCGTGAGCCCAAGACTGCCTCCAATAGTTTGCCTGCTGTCTCTAACATGCACAAAGCCAACGGATCTTCTGGTAGCTTATTACCTTTGGGTAGTAGGACCAGCCGTCGTCGCTTCCATCTTTTTGGGAAAATACCATCTTGTACGCACTTTGTGAATAACTTGCTGAAGAGTTCGGGCCGTCTCTTAGCAACGTATATGAGAACAACATGGCTTTAATCCATGTTACCGCTGCAAGCACTTCGGCGTTGCTAAGAGATGGCATTTCAGTAACATCCACTGCAGTTTCGTTTGATGCAATACTCTCATCATGTTTCGAGAATAACCCCTCCACCTCTCCCACCACCTTTTTGTACTTTTTAAACTCTGTTTTTCAGCGCGATTCTCGGAGGTGGGTGTACCACAATAAAAACTGCAAAATGTGGGGTGAACGGTACTATTCACTGACTACAACATTAATCTTCGCATTCAATGGCGGTCTTGCAGTTTCTTGATATATGCCCGAATTCTAGATAACGATAGCATCTGGTTGGGTTAGTAACTTCCCTGACTCTGCAACTCACCAATCCTATACGGATGCGCCCAGTCCCCACAAAGATTTGTGCATCTTGTACAGGGAGATTTAGCGTTGCAGACTATGTGCCACTTCTAGTCTACCTCAGCGACTTACAGAATGACTGAACTGGTCTCTTAATGATTTACTGACGTCCTCGGCCATTGTAGCCATGTCTATGTCCCGAATCTCTAATGTGTTGTTTGTGATGCTACACAGGGTGTTGAATTTTCGCATATAGCATTGGTAACTCTGCTATGATGTCGCGCATTGGTTGGCGGATGGATCTTCTTTTCCCATCTTCCAACATTCCGACTAGCTCTTTAATCTTGAGCCCCAATAGATTGTACGCATCTAACTCTGTTTGTGGCCGGTTACACGGAGAACTGGCCTGTGTTCTAGTCGGCGAGCGCGCCATTTTCATGGACATATCAATTGGACTAAGCCCGCATCCGTTATCGTTTCCAACATCACAGATTGGTGATGTTCAACCGCCCATGTGGGGGCGACCTGGGAACAGACATAGTTTGAGTGTAATTGTTTATAAATTTGATATATTATTATTTTTTTATAGTAATTATTCTTATAGTGATTGCTATTAACTATTACTACTATTGTTTTATTTTTATTACTATTTTGTTGTTGTTGTTATTATTATTTATAAAATTCTATGAGAAGAAACGACGATTTACGGAAGGTTTCAATACCGGAGCAGACTCATGTAGGACACAAAGAGGTGATCTAGCCACCGACGCCCAGAGTATAGTGAATTTGTGGAGGGAACACTTCTCCACCCAGCTGAATAGTAGTGAAAATAGAGAATCCGGAGATGGGGAACCCGAAACCCCAATCGACGGATATGGAAAAGACGTTCCATTGCCTAACCACGAGGAAGTTCGAATAGCAATCGCCCGCTTAAAAAACAGGAAAGCGGCGGGAGCAGACGCCCTACCGGCAGAACTATTCTAACATGGGGGTGAAGAGCTGACAAGGTGCATTCCTTAGTTATTTTGCAGAAAATGGTCGGACGAAAGCATACCCGACTCTTGGAATTTAAATGTGCTCTGCCCAATCCATAAAAAAGGGACCCCACAGTCTGCGCCAATTACCGTGTGAAAGACTGAAGCCCACCATCAACAAACTGATTAGACCTTATCAGTGGGGCTTTAAACCTGATAAGTCAACCATTTGCCAGATATACACCATGCGACAGATCTTGGAAAAGACCCGTGAAGAGAGGATCGACACCCACCACATCTTCGTCGATTTTGAAGCCCGCTTCGACAGTACAAAAAGAAGCAGCGATTTGATTTTTTCCGTAAAACTGGCTCGGCTCATTTCTCGTTGCTATACAGGGTTGCCAGTATAGTTTTTCTTAAAATAATATTAAATAATCGAAGATAATGCGTAGTTTTTTTCAAAAGAAATGGAAACTAAATACGTAACTAATTATATTTTACCGCAGAGGTCATGTATTTTTGAAATTTGTTGACGAAAATTATGAATTTGTTCAAAAGTGTTCAAACCACGCAAAAATAAACAACCTGTCATATGCGAATAGAAAGAACTTGCTGCACCGCTTTGAGAGTTATTAACGAAGCTGGCAATTCTGTGATGAACACTGTTTTGCGATGAACAAATCCGCCGAAAGAGTAGAACACTCATATTTAGAGCAATCATTGGATAGTTCGAAGTAATCTCATTATTTGCGAATAGAGATACCAGAAACCAACGACGAGAGGTAAGTTTAAGACAAATTTACCCCGATACGCACATAAATTTTTGAAGTAGCGAGTTAGCTACGTCACAAGACGTATAAATCGTTGAGCAGCATGATACCACAGGAGTTGGGAAGTAATCCGTATTGTTTTTTTACAAGTTTTTGGGAATTTCGTGAATAATTTTTTGAAAAGTTATTCCACTTTCAAATGCGTTAGGTCTTGAAAGGATTGTTTTTTTTTTTGCAGTCCCTTTTGTGTTTTGAATTTGCTTTCACAGGCGACAACTTTTATTTAATTCAAGATTTTCTTGACGAATTTAAAAATTTATGTAAATTCATGGATTATTTTGAAGAAACAGAATTATTTAATTACTTTATTGAAATTAAGATCTTATATCTTTTGTAAATGTATTTATATTAATTTTTCACAATGAAACTTACCATTAAAATCGAACTCTATTTGTCTACCCGCTCGTTTTGACACCGAAATGAGAAAGCAAAATGAATAGAAAGGGGGGGAAATGTCATACGCAACAAAAATGTCTAGCAAGCAAGGCGAGAAAAATTGAAAGACTTGCCTGTACCGAGGTATCTATACCCTTCACCTTTCTTCTCACCTCTCTCGTCTACGAACTAGTAGACTTTAAAGTAAGACTTGATGCGTGTGAAAGGAGACTTAATGTACAATAGTTTAACATTTTAGAAGAAAATAAAATATTGTCATTTTTGATATGCTGTAACTGTTTGCTTAATTTTTATTCGTTGGAATAGTAATTTTAATATAATATAATTCATGATATTTAAATAAGTGTGTATCATCGTTTTGTAGGGGCTTCCAATTGGTTGGCTGGTCTAGAGCTCAAAAAATTGGGCATATATTATGAATTTATTTTGACTCAACAAAGGAATCAATCCGAAATCTGTGAAAAAGATTTAATAATATAGATTTCATGGTACAAATACAAAATTTTTTGAGTGAATTAATTTCAAAATGGCCGCTGTACAGCATTTCTCCGAAGACGCTTTTTTTCTAATAAGTCCATGTAAGATGTAAACTCCTTAATTTTTGTCCTGGATCAGAAAATAAATTTTTTTTAGTTAGCAACAGCAAGAGACGTACCTAGGATTTTTTCGATATTTTGTTTTTTCGCGAAATGGTGCACGTTTGAACAAAAAGTTACAATTATCACTATAAAAAACGATATATAATTGTTAATTAAAAAAAACTGTGTGTATAAAAAAATCACACGTACGTCTTCGGAGAACGGTATTTCGCATGTACTGTAAATCGTAAGAATCGGTGAAGATTTGTTATATCTTCGGCCAGTTTAAAAAAAGTGATTTCGAGAAAAACGCGCTTAAAGTTGTAAGTGGCGCGCGGGGCATTTAGAGATTTTTGCCGGCATCGATTTTTTGGTATGTTATTTCTAAGGCCCTAATGCACCTTTTAAGACCAAAACTTTTTTTTCGATTTTTTCAAAATTCTAGACCAGCTTCTCCCCTAACTGCCTCTCGGCTAAAGCTGTATAATATAAAGTTACTCGATGTCCGTTGATTTTTTTTCTTTTTTTTTTTTTGAAAGAATATTAATAATACCGTCTTTACAGGACTTTCTCCCCTATTAAAATTGAAGGGATAAATATGATGATTAATATTTATACTTTAGTTATTCATTAAACAAATTTAAAAACCTTTTTTTATATTTTATTTTTTAAATATATTTAATATTTGTAATAGTTCTAAAATTTTGTTTATTTTTGTAATTGACAATATTATTAATTTTTTAATATGGCTTGGGTCCGTGTAATATAGGCAAATAGAGAAATTAATTTCATACGATTTCTCTATTTCAGCACAAAACCATTTGACTGGCATTTTTTTTTTTGGGTTTGTGTTTATAAAATTGTGTGCAAAAGCTTAATGTTTTTCCTTTACCCAATACACACCCCATTATGGCATTTTTTTTTAAACCTATAATAATAATTATGGTAAATATAACATCATTATGTTAATAACATACTTCTTTCTAACATATTTAGCACACTGTTAAAATTTCCCAGCTCAGAATATTTCCTCGCTAGATGGCACCCTGAAGGTCTACAAATGTTATTGTCACACAACAGCAACCTGTTATTAACATTTTGATGATTTATTTTAGTTAGATTATTCGTAAAATGACTGCTATAAATATTCGGAAAAAAGGATATATTTTCGTTGCTTTTTATAGCTTCCCATTTGTAAAATCCATAAAATTTCCTCAGCATCAGCAGGACAAAAGGTGGTGCAGAAAACTTTTAAGTTATTTGTTGCTATAAGTTCTCTGCTTAGCTTACTTCGAAGCATACATATTAATGCTTTTGTAAAAGACTTTGAGCAGGGAAGATGTGAACCACACACATTAGAAAAATTAGTTAGATCAATAATTTAATGAAAAAAAAATGTTTTGACTTACTTATGTAGATTAGATAATGAGGCGATTCTTATCGTTCTCTGCAACACCAATTACAGTAAAAATTGAGCAAAATACAAAAAGCCACAACAACATTTGGTTTTCTCTGCTAGCTCTTATTACAGGGATATCCACGTATCTCGGAGCCATAATTATGACATTTTTACCTAATCTCTGAAGACATTTTTTTTTTTTTTGAAAAATTGCCAATCGACATACAGCCTCGGCCAAAAGTATTAGGCACCCCATCAATTACTGTATTTTTTCTTTTAACAAGTGAAGTAATGAAGTTCTATTAGTAAAACATTGAAAATATACTGAATTAGTGATAATAACATTAACCCTACGAATTTCATAACTGCAGCAATTCTCTTAAGGTTGCTGCGTACAAGCTTTTCACATTCGTCCGCACTTACAGCGTACCACTCGTTAATAAAGGCATTCCTTAAGGCAGCTTTTGATGTTACACTGTGTTCTTTAACCTTGGGTTTTTAAATATCCCACATGTGCTTAATGGGATTAAGATCTGGGGACTGTGCAGGCCAATCTAACAAAACAATGTTGTTATCTCTAAACTAACGCATGGTAGTCGCTGATTTATGACAAGGAGAATTGTCTTGCTGAAATTGAACCCCGTCTACATTAGTATCGCCAAAAATGCGCGTTAACGAATGCAGAAGAAAAGCTTCTAATACATTTATGTACTTTGGCTGTCCATGCGACCCTCGCAAACGAACATTTCGCGGAAAGCATCAGTAGCCATGCAGCCCCAGATGATAACGCTTCCTCCTCCATGCTTAACAGTGGGTATCACGCAATCTGGATGATATTCTTCCCCAACTCGTCGCCTCACAAACGTCACACCAGGTGTTCCAAATATCTGCAGAAAAGAAGAAATGATGTTTTCATAAAACTTGTATTATGTCTTCAAAATTGCTCTAGGGTAAGAAGCTATGGCTGTTAATACTTTTAGACTATCTTAACTAAGCTTTCCTCGATTGTAAACAATCCAGTCCCTTCGAATTTCGTTAAAACTTTACCAATTCATTGAGTGGTTTGAGGATTATGTGCACCATAAGCTTTTTCATGAAAACTGTCCAGCTACTGGGGAATTTCGTTTCATTTCAGCGCCGTTTTATCCAAGCGAAGTAAAATTGTTAATATTGAAACCGCACAAAATCGATGTTAAGGTTTATTTTAAAATTGCTGGCAGCTTTTCTGTTACCGATTTAACATTAACAACAATTTTTCTTTTAGGATGAAAAAGAAATACAAATTTATTGGATAACTGCTTTAACGATAACATTTCCAAAATATTTTGCGGAATCGAGTGCAATTTATTGTTACAAGAAACTTTGCTTTTATTCACGTCGCTTATATTGTATTTTGAAGAGCATTTTATTTGACAGCACTGTAATATTGTACAAAGCAAAAGACTGTTAAAAAATTAGTTTAAATTACTTTATTCAATAATTAATATTATTAACTAGATGTCGGCAAAGGTTTCCTTGGGTGCTTTTTGATATCGTCGATGGTCTGAAAAAATAATAATAATAATAAGAGATAATATTTAATGACTTTTCCGAGTATGATACATTCTCTGTGAGCAAAAACTAAGGTAAATTTGTTTGTAAAATGAAAAATCTTTATTTCTTCTTCTGCAGCGATTTCTTCGCCTTCAAAATAGTTCCCTGCCGATGCAATACAATATTCCAATTATCGAAGCATATCAAAGAGTCACGTTCTGGTGTGGCCTTCAGAGAGCGCGCCGATTCACGTTTAATCTCACCAATCGACTCAAAACGGTGTCGTCGAAGTGGTCTCTTGAGTTTTTGGCAAAGCCAGAAGTCACATGGTGCTACGTCCGGCAAATACGGTGGTTGAAGAACGATAATCGTAAAATTTTTCAGTGAAATTGTCACGAAGAATGAGTGCTGTGTGCGACAGTGCATTATCGTCATGCATACACTTTTAGTCGTTTAGTAAACACAAGCGTAATTTGATGATGACATTGACATGAAAAAAGAATTAACCCGAAATATTTCACGCGCGAAGCTCAAATTAGAAATTCACCTTACTTTTTGCTCACAGTATACACAAGTTTATACAATCCAAGGTTATGACAAGAACGAAATCATATGTTTAATGACGACGTTGGTTCAATTTTATGAGTTGCCGAAAATTTTAAAATGAATTTTCATAATTTCATCAATAAAACAACTTAACAGTTTGAGCAAAATTATAGAATATTTAATAAACAAAAAAAAAGGATTTTCGCATATTTTCTTTACCGACTAAAGAGCTTTTGAGAAATGGGTGATCCATATCTTGTGAAAGAATCGGGTTTGAAAATTCGAGCTGGTGAAAAAGTTTGCAGTGGGATATTGTGGACAAAAATTTGAAAAAAAAAATTATTTGAGTGATTTCTATTAACATTTTTTGAAAAATTAAAACAAACAACGGATATTGTAGAATATTCGTTAACCGCTCCGTTTTATAAATTTAATTATACAATTTGTTGAGCTGAAAACCTGAAGTTCTGACATTAAGAAAACTTGAATTCATCAGATAGGTAACAATATAATATATATGCACGAATAAAACATTGATTTGCAAAAAAAAAAAAAAAAATGGTAGTTACGCATTAAATTTGTGTAAAAATTGGGTTCTATTCGGCCACCTCGACCTTGGCCTAAAAAAGTGGCCAAATTTGTGATTTTAGTACGTAAAATCAAAAAAAAAATTTTGTATAATTTGTATTTTCCTCTGTATAAGAAATTCCTCTCATGCTTATATATATAAACCTTTTTGAAAATAAAGTTTCTTTAATTTTTGTTAAGCGATCAGTGCAAGTAATTTAGATATTTTATTAATTAATTAGGCTCAGCTGGTCTGGTTTGGTCAGTGCAAATAAAACTAATTTATCCACTTTTTGCCCAACGTTTCGCTAAATATTTTAGCATCCCACTGTATATATGACGAAGTTGGTTTGGTGACGTTAACGGTTGTCGTAACCTTGAATTCAATAAACCTTGTGGTATATACATATATTTATTATTAGATTTTAAAGTTTTTTTTTAAAAAAATAAAATTAATGACAACTGTTTAAGTATAAATAAACAA